CGTATTTAAAATTTTTTATTTTTTATAAATATAATTAAAATCTTACATTAGTTGTTTGATGTCAAGAAGTAAATAGTTTAAATTGTAGTTGAGTTAAAACACAGAGCAGTGAATTAAAAATCGATATCATATTTAAAACAATGCATGTTATGAAAAATAAATTAATGATTATGGAAAATGTAACATGCTACGATGTGAGTGATGCTATGTAGTAACTAGAACATATATAAGTGATAATAATGAAAAAAATTCTAATTCTTTAGTTTATATCTTTCATAATTTATATAAATAATTTAACAGTTAATAATATAATATTGTTTTAACTTGCAAAATTCATACTACTTATTTTTTAATTTTGCATTGCATTAAATTATTACTTCAAAATTTGACTATCAAATCTTTTGTTTATATAAGAATTATTACAAAAATTGCTAATGTAGGAAAAATAAAATTTTTATATGTGATTGGACTTTTATTTATATGTATCAATAATATAAAATTTCGTTAATAATATATGAATACGAAAACTATATTCTGAAATTTAATAATTTACAGATTCGTTCGTTCTCTTTGATTCAGTAATTCTTATATTATATATCTTGTGTCTAATATAATTTCTTATAATTATCAATGGTATGAATTAAAATACAATAACTTCATTCTTGTATACAATTTTACATCAATATAATTAGTTGAGTATTAATTCATGAAACATAATTAAATAAATTAAAACTAATTAAATTTTTTACCGATTTAAAAATAATTAAGTAAATTAAATATTAAATGAATTAAATATGTATAATATTTATACATTCTAAAAAAATTCAAATAGCCGTATATTTTATATTAATAATTATAATTTATAATATATTCCTACATGTTATTATTTGATATGTTGACATTTTTAACAGTTAATTTATGTTTAGAAATTCATATATAAATTTCTTTTTATCTAATTATTAGAAATATAAATATTTATTAATTATTGTACAAGAACAAACTTTTTTTCATATGGAAATGTTTACATTTTAACAAAACTTTATAAAAATTATATGATATTACTAAGTTAAATTAATATATTAAGATATTTAAAATAAATAAAATGATTCCATATTATATTAATTTTTAAATGATAAGTAATTGATTATAAAATATTTATTAACCTTTTATCTAAATGTTTTACAAGTATTATAAATATATTAAATTGTTTATTTTTATTATTATTAAATACTTATTATTGTTAAATAATGTAAATTTTTATTATTTTTTTATTATAAACAAAATTTTATTTTAGCATTAACTTGAAATTATAATACTTTGTTTGTTTTTCAAATCATATTCTGTAATACTAAATTAGTCTTATTATACCTTATAAGCATACCTACATTATTTAAATTTTTAAAGAATGAAAAAATAATAATTAATGAATTTACTTTAAAAATTTTTTAATAATTCAAGTTTATCATTTGTTAGTTAAACATATTATTCATTTTTTAATAACATTTTATTTAACATTTATTTGTGTTTACAAATACGTTTGAATTTAACTTGTTACAGGAAGTTAAGTCCAGTAATAAACAAAAATCATTAGTTTTCTTGGAAGATTTTCTTCATTTTTAATAATTATAGGTATTTAATAATCTATAATATACGTAGTTATAGTCAAATTATATGTAAAGTATATAAATTATTTTTACATTATGAAATCACAATAGTAATAAGTTAATCTATTCGTTGATATCAACATTATTTCATCTATATTTTAAAATAATAAAACCTACTATTCTATACAAAAAAGTGTAGCCTAGAATTTGAGAAAAAGAAAACCTTTATCAATATTGTTTTTATAACAATAATATAATTAACATTTTAATTCTCAGTCTATATAAAGGTGGTACAAATAACTAGTTTACTTAAGTATTATTACTATTTTTGCTATTACTTCTATAAAATATGTTAACGATCAATAAAATATTATAAGTGTTACTCTGAAATAGTATTGCCTAAAAAATTGAACAATTATATTATAAATAAAGTAAAAAGTAATATTAACTTGTTTTAGTTCAAGAATATTCTAAATATTCTAAAAATTCTTTATTTAATATACTTAACTGTAATACACATTATAAAAGTAAAACAAAAATATATTCCCAATTTTATTAACTAAATTTCACAATATAAAATATAAAATATAAACTATTCCGCTACATAAAATTCATATTATTATGTGAAAAAATACTTATTCTGTGTATACTATTGCCTTCAAATGGGTTTACTTTTAAATTCTTTAATTTATTAATTTAAATTTAAGGTTTATTAATTGAAATTCACAATATCGTTATTACAGTTGCTTTTGGCCCTTATTAATTCGAAATGTATATTTCTAGATAATATTTTTTTGTGTTTTAATATAACTAAGTAAAATATAACAATCACTGTTTCAGTAAAATAAATGGTACTTTTGTAATGTAGTTCTGATAGGCCACGAGTTTAATATAATATAAATTGCGTATCTGGGGATGGAAAATTTAAAGCAAAGGTTAAAAGAAAATGAATATTTCGAAATATAAATAAAAATATTAATATAAAAATATTATGATTTCTTAAAAAATTAGCCATTTTAAATACATGGCCATGCGTCTAATATGATAAAAAGGTCAATAAATAGTACATGCATTATTATACAAATAATTAAAATGTCATATTTATGTCTTTTTATATTATTCCGAGGAATACTTTTATTTCGTTAATATATCCAATTAATAACATTAACTATCTACTCATTAAGCAACAAAGAATTACATATGCAATCTTTTCATATACCTTATCTACATTTCATGTAGAATGCTTTTAAAACATATTAGAAATTTATACTATATTAAAATTTGTATATTCTTAGTAGAATTCTTGAAATTTGTCAAATTATTTAGTATTTCAATTTCTTTGAAAAAAATTTATTTTTAAAGTTGACTTACTTTTTCAAAAATAAATATTGATTTATAATTTGAAATGACAAATTTTTATTTTTAATTATAGATTTTTTTCACGAATATCCTAATAGACTAGTATTTTGAATAAAAAACTTAACAAATGTTTAATAAATGAAATAGACAAATACAATGGTCGTGCAATAATTAGATATTGTGATAAAGAGTATTTCCGAGGGGTCATATCATTAAAGTTTTAAAATACAAAACAACTATTAATAAGGAAATAGAAAAGTCAATTAATTCTAATGTTTGACTTGTCCATATTTGCATAATTGCCCTCACCGATTTGTGGAGGTTGCTTGTTATTTATTATATTTTTACAATAAAGTGTCTCTCATCATTAATTGTGTATTAAATATGTTTTTAAATTTCGATGTAAAATATACAAAGTCATTGGAATTTCATGCAATATATCGCAAGCTTGATTTGACATGCACCTTTATTATTGATATATTTAATCAAAATGTATATTCTAATTTTCTATAACATTTAAAAATAACCATAAATAAAACTTCTTGGATGCGATCATTACAATAAGAAAATTTTTACTCCTTGAATTATATATAAGAAAAAAGTAATTCCAGAAATATTGTATAAAATTAGCATCTAATATGTAATTTACGACTATTAAGTTAGAGTGACAATTTATAAAAGCAAACATTTTTATGAAATTGCAATGATAAATTACTCTATGATGTTTTATGAAATAATGATTGAAAATTTAGTGAAACTTATTTAATAATATAATAAAAAAATCATATTGAAATTATTTTATTAATTATTCTCAGATTAAAACTGTATCTCAAGAACACAAAATCCTGCATCACTTAATTGTAAATTTCTTATATTTATCATTAAATGACATTAGATAATATGAAAATTTATTATACGTTTATGAAAAATTAATTATTAGCTAAATTAATTTTAATTCTAAAAAATTAAATTAATGCAAGGCTTTTATACGAAAAAACAATACAGCGCTGATGTTTATGAATGAACGCTAAATAACCATTACTATACGAATAAACAATACAGCGCTGATGTTTATGAATGAACGCTAAATAACCAAGGCCATCGCTAAACAGCTAATGAATAAATAAGAAAATTAATAACCAAATATGTCGCATAATAATGACGAAGAAATCGGGCGGGGAACTAGCGAACAAAAACAGTAATGTGATGCTCTGTCTGGTGTAGCTGTATTACGACGACTTACCCCTGGACAGTATCACGTCTAGAGCACAATTCACACGCCTATTGTTGATGGCTGTCAGGATTCTTTACTTGGCCCGACTTACATGCTGTCCTATCGATAGCAGCATAACATACAAGACATTTTTGTTTATATGTAATATACAAAGTTAAAGCTGAGCAGACCAACAATTATCTTGCCTTTCATGCTTAAGTAAGATGTACTTCCAATCTGCGTTTTAATTTAGATTTTAAATGAAAATTTATTTTTTCTGCATGTGTTTTTAAAATCAATTTTGACTTTGCAAGTTTGTTTAATCTTGATAAATTAATGATTTTATTGCAGTATCATATGTTTAATATTATCTTGACTGAATTGTCATGTATTGTTTTATGTTCGCATAAAATATCATTCTCTTTGATTATTTTGTAGAAACTGCGGAATATAATTTAAAGTAAATTAATTCTCTGAATAAATTTTTAAGCTAACTGATAAATAATAATTCGTTACTATTTTCTAATTTTATTAAATATAATTTATCTAATTTATTTCCGCACCAAACTTAAACATTAGTATCACTTAATTTCTTTATATTTCTTTCGTGCTTTATGAATGGTTTGTTAAAAGCTTAATACCATATACAAGAACACTTACGAACAATTATTTTCCAACTACACCCAAAACCGTCTTTTTTCTACATGAGTATATAAGCTCACTTAAAGAGGAAAGCACGTTAAGAATATTTAAGTAACTATGGAAGATTTGCTCAATGCTTTTCATAAAAGAGGATAAACAAAATTTGAAACCAATTAACTCACCTGCAAAACACCAGCGTCCAGTTGCGCGAGCAAAAATTACTAGGAACACACAAAGGATAAGTATCAAAACTCCGATAACGATTCCAATTATTGATCCGGCATCCAAATCTACTCCTGAAAACAATTTAATTTATTTGTTATTTAATTATAAATTTGCTAGTTTATTGCTTTTCTAACGACCAGTTTTATTTAATAACAAATATTTAAAATAATTAATAAAAACAAAATACATTAAATAATACTAATAAAATAATAATAATAAAGTAATTCATAAAAATAATAATAATAATAATAAAGCATACGTATTATTCCTCATTTTCACAAAAGTGATGTTTCGCTATTCTGTTAGTTCTTAAAAATAATATGTCACTATTGAAAAATATCAATAACAATTGGACATTATATTTGGTAAAAACTATTAAAAAGTTATTTCTTTCAAGTTTACTCAAGTTTAGTATTCATAGAAATTTGTTTAAAGTTATGTTCAATAGTATTCAACTAAAGACATTCTAAACAGAAAATACAAATTATTTTAGTCACATAATATTTAAGAGTGATAATACTTTTTACGTAAATTTAAATATACGATTATCTTTATTAAGCTACTGATGTGCAAAATACATACTTTTAATTGTTTAAGCATTGTTTGAAATGTAGAAAATATCATGTTAGATTATTAGCTTCCTTATTCTTATTATAATATACAACAAATGAAATAGAAATAGAAATGTAAATAACAATAATAAAATACTAATCAAATATAATGATTCAATATTTCTTATAAAATTATTATTTTCATTGCGAATCATTATAATGATAATTAATATAATAATAATAAAGTAACTAAAAGAATAATTTATGAAACGTATATAGTGACGATTACCTAGTGCGTGCATGTGTTCGGAGAGCTTATCGTAGAATTGATTGAATCGACCTAAAGCTCCTGCGTGAGCATGCGACGAAGGTATTTGCGATTAGAAAACAATTTTTGACTTATATGCGGTGATATTAATAGATAGTCATCATCAATCAGCGACACGTGACTGTGAATGATTTGATTAAAAGCTCAAATAATACTACAAGAAAATTCATAAACTTCTGACGCTTCATAATCATTTATGAGTTTTCCGAACAACAGAATTCATCAATACATTTAAGTATATTTAAAAAAAAATTATGTTAAAAATTTACAAAATTCTGTATTGATTATAAATAAATTCATATTGCAATAATGTTAAAATAATGTATTTTAATTCTTAGGTAATTTATAGATGTTATAAATTACAATGTTTATATTTACAATATTTTTTTATGTAAGGTAATAGCTGGAAGTATAAATATGATTATGTAACAAGTAATATAATGAAACAGAAAATTGTACGATTGTCACAATCAATGAGTGTCGATGATAAGGATAATATGATTCAATAACATTAATGCTATGCAAAAATATATTTACTCAAAAAAATTGCATAATTAAAATTTTTACTGTATGTTATATGATTATATAGTTAGTTTATCATTTTCTGTTAAAATCTTATAAACACATAAGATTTTCACAAAACTATAATAGCATAATGATGAGAAAAAATGTGTGCTTAGCATTAATTTAATATATTTGTGCTTTGTCATGAGATTAAATTTAATTAATAAATATAAAAAACATAATACTTGCATATAATAATTAGATGGACTTACCTGCTGGTGGCTCAGAAGAAGATGATAAAATTATTTTATATACGGCATATCCTTCGTTGTTGTGAGCTTCCAAACTATATTCTTTGTCTGTATCGGACTTTTGTACGCTGTCAATATTCAAAACGAGACTCCAATATCCATGACCCTAAATAAATAATTGGAAATACTTGTATTTTTATAAATTTATATATAAATGTAGCTTTTCAATCAGCTTTTAAATGTTATATTATAAAGTCTAAGTAACCTAATTATTCATTAGTACGAGCCAGTAAACATCTATAATAGTTCGTTTTGTTTCTATTTATTTTGAAAAACCTATGACAAACAATTTTTATACCATATTTTAAATTTAGATACATAAATAATTATAAAGTAACTAAAAGAAATTAAAGTATTTTATAATTCAGAAAATATTCGTAGATGAATGTTAAACATTAGCGCCAAATTTATGGGTTTATTTGATTTTATTAATAATTTCATATCTCAAGTGTTTAACATATATGCTTCTAAAAATTATATATAATAATTTCAAATTAACTAAGATATTTTATATTAAATTCATTATAAGTTACCTAATATTTATTTGAAAATTCTTTTGCAATTTAATAAATATTTAATGATGCAATTATTGATATTAAATATCAATGTGATTCATAAATCAGAAATAATCAAGATAATATTTTTATCAATATTCAGTTTTGTTGATAAAAATGACATTTACAAAGAATGAATTACGAGATCAGAAATTATTATATATAACCATACTTATAAAAGTAATATATATATATAAATTCAAGAATGACTCGTTATTATTTCTAATCATCTTTGTAGTAAGTCAATTCATTACACTTTTTTCTATTAAAGCACGTAAGATTTTTAGCTATTTAATAAACTTAGTATTTTATTTTGTACATTTATTTGATGTATAATTAATAATTAATAATATTTTGTACAATTAATAATATTTTTTATATTAGTCTAAATTTCTTAATTTACATTTAAATAATTTTTATACTTATGAATGCATCTAATTTTTCAATTTATCAAAAGATATTTTATAATTTGATGAAATAAATTTTATATATACATTGTTTCGGTTCTCTATCTATATTCTTTGTTAATAATAAAAATAATATTTTATAATATATTTATCATATAATGAAGATGATACATATATATCTAAAATAAACTACGATAAATTTTAATATTCAATAAGTAATAACCTAGTTTTAAATAAAAGTCTTTTTGTATTTTTCACAACCGTCCAAAGTAAATTAAATGGATTATTTGCAGCATAAATAGTACTTTGCTTATCACTAGTCACAAAAACAGACATTAAACAGTTTTTTTAATACAGTGAAATTACGATGTAACAGACAAAAGGTACATGAGGTGATAAGCGAGAAAAAATTGGTACGCTCCTAAAGTAATATTTTTCCTATATTTGAACGAAACTAGAACGGGCAAATAACGATTTTTTCATCTCTTTCGCTCGATCTATCGTTTTCTATCCCGTTTTTACCTTTCTTTCTACCATGAAATATGAATTTACCAAGTCTACAGGAGAGGAAGTCTGCAATCGGCCAGACACATCGGGCATTCCAGCATTGATCTTCACAGTATCGACTTTCCATGTAAAGTTGGGCTTCGGATTGGCCTGAACCGTCACGTTCACTTTTCCGGGACGGCCAATTGCGTAACCAAAGCGCTCGATCGTCTGCTGTGGCTGTGGTGGGACTGTGGTGTAAGCAGAAAGTAATTTTTAATGCAATAAATGACGATGCAGGCATATGAAAGTATTTCGAAATATGTAAATATGTAAGAATACATAAGAATGTTCTCTAATCGAATAACATGCGCTCTTAGGCTATATTAAAACTGGTTCGTTCTTTTATAATTACTTGATGAAGTCTAAAAATTTGCAGCAATTACTTCTATACTTGTAATACTTCCATATTAGATAGATTTTTATTTCATTAAAATTTTTCAGATATTACTTGTTATCGTACCAAGTATACAAACATCTTTTGATTCAGTAATAATCTACTGTATTTGCATTCTTAATAAGTAATAAAAGTTAAAATGCTTTAACCATTATATTACAATTTCGAAAGCACAAGCTTTGTATTATATTCCATCGATAAATCGTTCCATTTATCAAAAAATCACGTTCTCAATAACTAAAATCTATACCTCAAGTGTATAATTACAATTATAAAAAAGTAGAATTCCATTAAGGTTGGTTTGACGTTTTTATGTAGGTAAATTAACTTTTTTTCATACACAGTATTATTAAATTTATTACAACTATTTAGCTATAATTATACATAAAACATTTAAATTCAATTAAATGAAAATTATTAACTAATTGGACTATCTACACTCACAGTGAACTTCAATTTGTCTCGTTGTTTCCAAAGGCTGCTGAAGTGCAATATGATCAGCGACACAACGCAATGTTTTGCCATTATCACTTGGCGTTACACTTCTCGATGTATTTAATATAGCCTGAGTTTCCTCAATTGGTCGTCCATATATTATCGGTCTTTCATCGAATCCAATGGGTTCGTTATCTAATAGATAATTTTAGCACATGTATATTATATCCTTACTTATATATTATATATATAAGTAAATAATACAATAAAATATTTAATAAATACAACTTTTCTTTCAGAAGATAGACGATGACAAAAAAATCTAGAATAGTATATATAAATATTTTTAAATATTACGAAAAATTAATGTCGATCAAATTAGAAAATTTTAAAGTACAATACGTATTCTTCTTTTATTATACATATTTATATGCATTTAAAAACATTTATATACGATATTGTACATATTATGATTATATTGAATTGCCAACTTACTGAAAAGTAATATAAAAACTGAGAAAAAAAGAGGTTTTCTAGATTTAATTGTATGCATTAATATTTTGGTAGTAATAAACCATAAACTTACCTAAATAAAGTGAAACATTCGCGGGTGGCCTTCCTTCCACAGCTACACAGCTAACCTCCATTTTCTCCCCAGATTTGTAAGCTCCATTGTTTTTATTTAGGTGAAGTTGTGGATGCAGTGGTTGCTCTGTGAATTTCAAATATATATCTTTTATTTTAGGCTTCTTGTTTCTTTTTTGTACTATATCTGGTCCAAAGCTTGAGCTCTCACACTATTTTCGAACTTATAGCGATTACACAGATTTAAAATATTTATTTTATTCACGTAATACAAAATAAAAATAATAAAATATTAAAAATAATATTTAAATTTTTAAAATTTTAAATTTTTTGAAAAATATATAATAAAAATAAAGAAATATATTGTAACTGAAATTCGATATAAATTTTTTTAAATTTAATAACATGGCTGATAACATTAATGTTGCGCACTTATCATTATGCGCAGGTATCAAGAATAATTCACAATTTTATATTATATATATTAAAGTACGAGATATTGTTCATTGATGGACTAACTTCGAAAAAATAAGAACTCCAATTGTCCTGAAATTCAACCGATAGCAAAGGTCGTATGAGAATAATAGTGGATCCTTTCAAGATCATGTCGAGAAATTCTGCGTGAGAGTTGAAATAATTAAAAAATTCTCAGATATATCTTTTAAAAGGATTAAGGATCTAATGTTGGAAATTGAAAAGTTTTATTTGTAGAATGCTATACATAACTTTATGAAAATCACCATATTGGAGTTAAACGATAAGATTTATAATAGTAGATTGTCTTATGAACCTAGTAGAGTATTTGAATTACCAGAAGAATGTTGTATTCATGTCTGATATTTTCAAATATCTAAAAACTAGTAAAAACATATTAAATATTATACACCAGATATATTTGGTATTTTTAATATAAGATTGGATGCTATATACATTACAAAGATGAAAATATAGTTTACGATTCTAAAATTACGGCTACCAGAGAAATGATATTTTTAATGAATCGATCAAATGAATTTTAATAAAAGAAACAAATATGTTTGTATTTTTGAAATAGAATTATAGCAATGCAATCAAAATGAAAAATAAGGCCTTCGACTTTGCAAGACTTTTTTCCAGAACAAGCAAATAAATATAAAGAAAGAATGCAATAAGAATATAAAAATGGCTTTGAATATGAAATTTCTGTATAATGCATTTATAAATTTGTAGTTTTATGGATATATATTATGGAAAAAAACTTATATCAAGATGCATTGATTATAAATCATTATTGTCTTATATTTCTATTAAATAAACTTGAAATTTATGAATTTGTAAAGAAATTGAATTATATTTTTTAATTACTTATTTGAAATATTGATTGTTTTTTACATCATTGCACATCATTACTCATTATTTAAATTTCATAAATGTAGCACTATGTAATTTCTAATACTGTATAAGCTTAAAAATTTGTCGACCTTATATTGTTTTAATTACGTTTTAACTAATTTTTTTTAACTTTTGCAAAAAAACTTTTTTAACTTTTTTTAAAAATAATTTTTTTAACTTTTGCAAAAAAACTTTACAAATGTAATAAAATTAACAATATTTACAGGATGATTATACAATTAAATCTTGATATATTAAAGGAAAATATTTATTGTGATAAAAATAAAACACGTAGTACTAAGAGAGTAGGACGCGGCCATACTGTTTAATATGTAGGCGCAATTCGCTACTGACAACAATAATTTGGCTAACTGTCTACTAGCACATATCATACAAATAGGGCAAAATAAAGAGAGGCGGCCTTCCTTTACAAAGATTATGATGCGAGATGATGAGAAAGAAGAGTACGAAGTTTATCTGGAGGATTGGAAGAAACGTAATACTGACTTGCAACGATCATGCGTACGCTATTGTAGCTTTCGGAGCGTCCCTTTCCAGGAGTGAGATAGCAGGTGACATTGCCGTCGTGCCTCTCCTTAATGTTTGATATCGTAACGCCGCACTGGCCCTTGTCAAGGCCCTCGCCGTAGTAATCGATCCCATCCTCCGAAGGTTGCCCCGGTGTCAGGACAAGGCTATCCTCGCCGGGTATAGTGAATCGGCAGACCTGCAATGCAACTGCAGCCTTGCACAAGATCGTTTGGCTATGGCCCAATTTCACTGCCACCTGATTATCCGGCTGAATTTCTACTGGCAGATTCGTTTTGAACGCTGAAATATGGTAGATCGGCTGTTAATAATTTTGCATTTATAATAATACCTTGAAATATTCTTTATTTAATGTATGTATGCTTTAAATATCTGCATAATATAAATATCTTTACGATGGACTAATAATGTATAAGTTAATAAAATATATTATTAGAATGATCGTATAGTCGACTTTCTCATTTAGAATATCGTGTACAAATAGTTAGTGAAAAATAATTTAATTTGCTAAAGAGTCCCATTAGCCGTTTGAACACACTTATAAGCTGAAGTAAATGCAAACTCTACGTAAGACTCAAATTTTTCTTGGCAATATAAATGTCAAATAGCATATCAAAAGATTATCTCATCTTTATTTTCTTTTTTACTTTCTAACTTTCTAAAGCAATGAAGTCTGGTGATTCCGCACTTGCATCTATCTAATCTTTTAATCAAATCTTTTTTTTCCATTAGAATATGTAATCATGGAAAATCGAGCAATCGCATTATTATTATATTGATCACAACAACAGTAATATCACTAGTTCACGTTAATGTAAATATAAGGGCAATTAAACATTGATCGGAAAATCGATTATTAGTAGGAAAGTTTTATTGTATAATATAATACAATATACAAAATAAATTAGTTACTTATATAACGCAAAATTAGTTTAATAATTCACTCAACGACTGGCGAGCAATTCTTATTGAAACTCAAGACGAATGCGTTCTATTTGTACTTTGTTTTGTTAATATATATATATATATATATATATATATATATATATATATATATATATATATATATAAATAAAATGCGGAAGTCAATAGTGCATAGGATATATCAATAATTCTGAGAAATAATATGGTGGATGCTGAGGCGGCAATATGTTGGCTCATCACAAAGATCATGGACAAAGATATCACTTTGGAAATTATTAAGTCATAACCGCCGCCCTTCCCATACAAATATAAAATTCAAGTGTATCTAATAATCAACGCTGCTCGATTCTTTAAAAAAATTCGAGTTAACTAAACATTACTTAATAGCATTATTAAATTATTAATTTTGTATGCTTTTTCCTTGGCATACTTGGGAAAATATGATTTCTGAATGAATCGGAGTGCTCATTTACTCGTCTAATAAATTTTTTGGATGTAGCTTTGATTGACACTTTGCGTTAATGATCTTATCACCATGACCATAATCATTATCATTACATAGCTTTTAAAGCTATTGAAATTTAATATAATTTTCAATATACGGTATTTGGGTAAAAATAATATGAAGTTTAATTTTCAAATAATTGTATGGCAATATTAATTGAGATAGTATACTAAAGCTTCGAAATTTATTTTATATTCTCACCGTACTTTTTTTTTATCTTTTCCGACTATTTCTATATACTTTACTCCTACTTTTATAATTTCTCTAATTTTACTTTAGACATACAATTTTTATTATTATTATGAAATGTTTTTTTTTATGTAATTTTGTTTGTATTTAAATATACTACAAATATTATTTTTATCGAGAATTTCGAAGTTTTCATTTTATGCAATGAGACTTTTTTCATCATTGGTAACTTTTCGAGTTTTATTTTTATAATGTTTTTTTTTCATTATGATATATTGCATTGTCTTGCTAAATAATTCTAACTCAGATTAAAAAAAGTTTTAACAGTTACACTTGTAAATTTATTTGCATTATTTATATTGTACAATTCTACTAGGCTGAAACAGCAATTTATTATGTATTTAAAAATATCCTTTCCACTTCTACTTTTCACACCTTAGTTGATTATTATGCTATGTTTAAGATCATGCTCACCTATTAGAAAATAATACATTACTTTCTGCAATTTTCTTTTCTGGGAAACAAAATAATATGAAAATTATACACTATCTCGTCACTTTCAACCATTATATTTAGAAAATTTTACATAACTTTTATGTTCTTTTATATATAATACATATTAAAAAAGTGTAATTATTTATAATATTAATTATAATATTATGATTATTTCATATCATAAACTCTTCCTACTAAATTTATTTAATTTATTCAGCAAATATATTCATTTTAGATCGGTCAATTAGATCAATTAGAGCGGTCAAATATGTATATATTTATCATAAATATATTCATCTTAAATTTTATCTTGCTTACATTATTTTTTATTAAATTTTATATTATATTTTACCAATTATACCATTAGAATATTTACAATACAGATTATGGAATATATTAGAAATGAATACCATCGTTATCAAATCGTTTTATAATTATGTCATTACATTACGTTTACTATAGCGTTATGATCAAGACAGACGAGCGCAATGAATAAAAATAGATTATATATTTAATAGCAAGAAAATAATGACGATTCAATTAAAAGAAAAATATTTTACGATATGTAACAAGAAATTTAATGTTGATTTATGCTTTTTGTATATTTTTCAATAATACGTTCGATCAATTTTATTGTATATTTTAGCATATTGTTGTTATTATTGTATTTAGAAAATTTATTATTATTTACGCAATTATTGTTTCATAATTTTCTGAAATATATTTTGATTATACTACTACATAAACATAATAATGTGAGTATTGAAGCGAATAAATAATAGTCACGTACTGAATGCATTACTATATCATTAGGCTACATTTCCCAAGTAAGAATAATAAACAGTGATTCGATAATGCATAAAATTTTATAAGTTGAATATCCGTGAACTACTATCGCAATCTTCCATCCAATCGCCTGATTTTTAATACAATTGCATCTCTACATATGTATTCAGACGCCTATATAGTTAAGCAGTTTAGTGAATTTTTTAATATTAAAATAAGCCAAAGGTAGCACTGAGATGGTTCACTCGGGCGCATCAATAAAACTCCAATGAATAATAAATAGAAAATTCCTGCCACTCGGGCGCATCAATAAAACTCCAATGAATAATAAATAGCACGTTCCTGCTAATTTTCACTATTTTATATCGAATGTAGAGTGACTGAAGGTGTCAAGCTAGTCAAAACACGATATGTATAAGCCGGAAACTGCAGCATATACAACGATGATTTAAAGTTTACCATGAGATTTGATTATCGTAGCACCACGCATGCTCGATGTGGGGTTATGGTGGAAGAATACAGAGGCGGTGTAAAATTTACATGTTTTATTGCGGCAACTCAATAACAACATATATAGCTTCATACATGGTTTCAGTTTCTGATTCCTGTCTCCATTTCATTGCGCTCTGTTTCATGCTTGGATATGTCCCTCGGCTTCCGCACGTGGTCACGCGTTCTCGATAATAAATTTCATTCGTAATTATCGAAGCAATCGAACACATTAACTTTTTACTTCCATGGTAAGTCCTGTTGTTTAATTAGCTACTATTATTTTTTATTATTTTTTATTATTTGCACGATAATATTACGTGAAGTCTTTTATCAGTTTCACTTACAAATTGAGTTTGTAAATAACGAATTTAAATCGTTATTCTAAATGCCTTTATTACAAATATCGAGAAATTAACCTTGCACAGTCAGACTATTTCGAAAGCATATTTCTCTTGTCATTCTCATTTAATTAATAATGATACCAGTAAATAAAAGCAAATAGATTTAAAAACGAATTTAAAAACGACATTACATCAATCTGAGACGTATCGAGAGACGTACTGCACGTTACCAAAAACAACCCGTTTGTTGATTAGAGAGGTAAAATAAAAAGTAACAATGAAAAAAAATGCTTCCACGGAAAATCTCCAATTCAATCAATTCCAAAGCAAATCTCCAATCTACGGGGGATCTCTCCGGTACTGTTTTGCATACATAGTAAGCTTATACGCTTGCAGTAACTCTGCAAGTAGCAAAGCAGCAGCCATGGCAATGGTTGTACATATACCGTGGTGACGACTGATCCGAGGGTAGTTCGCACTCCAGTCCCAGCTGTATTAGATGAGGCTCGCTAATACTGTTAATTTCCTCAATGCGGATTCGAAAATTGCTGTATGACCGAGGTCGACTAGTCTTGCTTGCCTTGATTATAAGAGTGCCGCACAAAAACGGGGGGGGGCAAAGTGTGCGCGGCATATATGTGATATATATATATATATATATATAGAAGGAGGACAAAGAGAAAAAGTTAGATGAAAAATAAGAGCGTATGCTGCTGGTGCTCATAAGTGCAACGGGAAAGTTGTAAAACTTAAGCCACTTTAATGCAGAATGATGTTCCATATAGGAGCGTGTTAAAACCGTTAAAATAAGCCCGAGTATAACTGTGAGCTGTAAGATGAGAAAAGGAATCCACCTCTCCATCGCGGACTGTCCATTCTCTAGCTCTTATCGAAGATGAACTTAAAAAAATAGAAGCTCACAGCAACGAGATATTTTAATTTTATGAATATATAGAGTAACAAATGTAAAAAGCTTCTGTTTTGTTCTCTTTAACTTCATAGTTATAGCGAATTGAAGCATTAGGTACAGCGGTAGCCCCCACTATACCAAGTAAATTAAAAGGCGATCGAAATATTTTATTAAATTTGTCGGGATTAGGTTAAAGATGAGCGAAGGCCGAGTGTACAAATTGATTCACATTGATCGTTCTAAGCTTAGTATAAGAGTTAAGAATCTTCTTTTACAAATATTCTCTATGTTATAGCATATATATTACTTACATATAAAACCAAGGCGTTATAAATATCTATTTCTTTATTATAATTTATAATTAGATTTTCATATTTTATCATAAAGAGTATTATATATAAAAATATTATGCTTTAAGTGGCTCGAAAATCATAAATATAAATAATGTAAAACAACTTTTTTTTTATATTCTCAAAATAGAAATTTATATTGTATGGTTTTTGAGAAACACGAAAGAAGGACTGACAAGCGTTTATTGGTTTAAACAACATGATGCACAATGCACACCACACATGCAATCGAGAATAACTCAAGTTACGTAAATTTCGGGGGTCTACGATGTGCATACCATTCATAAATC